ATGATCAATGTCACAAACAATAACCCCTGTGTGACCGGTAATGATCAATGTCACAAACAATGACCCCTGTGTGACCGGTAATGATCAATGTCACAAACAATGACCCCTGTGTGACCGGTAATTATCTCTGTATTACAAGTATCCCATAACGACACTGGTCTTGTTTAATGTGACCACTGTTGTGTATTCCGTTGTACAGAAATGACAGTCCGTAGCCTTTTCACTCTCCATTACCTATGTATCTAATTGTGTGACAAATTTTGATATTTCATTATCTTTGTTTTTCAAAAATAACTGTCCTGTTTTAGAAATTGTTTGATTGACTCCATTATTGACAAGCTAACCTGCTCTGTGATTTTCAGTTATTGCAGCTGTTGCTGTGGCAATGATGTTTGTGAGCCTATCGTGTGCTGCCAGCTCAACCACCGAAGCTTGTAAGTATGCCCTTTCCATTGACCAAGCCTATCCTCAGGCCGACTATACTATGCGGTGTTGATGTTAGGAAAGCGTTGACAGGAATCTTATATAAATTGTTTGGACAATTAAGTTTTAACATTCAAACGAATTCTAAATATATTTATAAGTAAATCGTTTTAAAACTATGAACGTTACAATACTTTATATTTCTACTGTACACATAAAGTATCTAACCATGCTGGTTGTTTGTCTATTTAATTGTGCACTGCTTTAATTTACGTCACTACATCAAATACCGTTTATAGAAAAAGGTTATTTATCAGTGTGTTATTGGTGTGATTATATAATATAACGAAAGTTTCATGAACATCTTTTGTACATAATGATGCAATTAAAACTTTAAAATGTCAGCGTTAGTTTAGAGGAGGTGTAGACAATTGTAGTTATTGGTCTGTCTACCATAACCTGCATGTGTTCTATCGTTAACGCTAACGTTATGGGCTAAAAGATGTCTACGACCATATGTAATAGCGTATCAAGATTTTTTAACTTGAAAAAGGTATCGGGNTTGATGTTTTCCCGGGCTTATCGTGGGTATCACTGATCCGCCAGTGTCTGATTGTACCGCCATAACAATCCTCAAACTATCTAAACGTTCAAACGGATCTCGTTGAAGAGATAAATTACATGTACATTGTATTATATTTTTTGGAAGAAGTACAGATTTGTGTTTCCCCATTTTACGCTTATTAAAAGTTCTATTGGAAAGACGTTCCACAACCCGTGGCAGTTGGTGGCCATGATTATCTAATTAAGGAATGACCAAAATTTTGTTTTGGTACATGTATATACCGAAAAAAAAAAAGTGCTCATTTTTTTTCCGGTATATACCAAAACAAAATCTTGGGCATTCTTTAAATTTAATTTTAAAAAAGTAGACAAACACGTTGTAAATGCACAGTTAAAGATTTATTTAATTTTCACGTAAACTAAACAATTGCGTTAAAAAAAAAGCTGCGTTGTAATTTTGCATTCTGAAGTGTAAAAAGTAGTTTCGTCATCAGTTGTTTTTCGTTTTAGGTATATACGATATATTCCCAAAAAAAATATTATGGGGGAGATAGGCAAAATTAAATTGTTTGTCGTTAGTTCATTCTCAAGTTTAGGAAAGACACTAATATCCTAAATATTGAAATTAACAACCGGGGTTAACTAATTAAAATAATCAACCACCACGTGTTATGGAAACTTTAATCAATGTATGATGGACGAGGTAGCTTGTTAAACAAGATGCCACCAGTTGATTTGGGTGAGAATTAGAAATGTGTTACAGCATCGATTGTTGTTTTGCATATTTTATGTTTTATGCATTTCTTTTCTGCAGCGTCTTCGACCGGTAGCACTGGTAAGTCATCTAAAACTTCTTATTAAATCCTTTCTAATCCTTATCATTCACAATATCATATTTTGGTTTCGTTATCAACCATGTAAGTACTACTTAGGTCGGGATTCTCTGGGAGTATGATTTAATAAAAATAACGGGAATTGGAACACAGGCAGGAACGATTTAATGAAAAAGGCATATACAATACGTCTCTTGTATCAACATTATCCGCATACAATGTAAAACGAATGACGCCATAGTTAGTTTACAAACAATGTAAAACAAATGTACTCATATAATCAGACTACATACAATGTAAAACGAATGTCCTCATAATTAGTCTATATACAAAGTAAAACAAATGTCCCCATAATTAGTCTATATACAATGTAAAACAAATGTCCTCATAATCAGATTACATACAATGTAATACGAATGTCCTCATGATCAAACTACATACAATGTAAAACGAATGTCCTCATATAATCAGACTACATACAACGTAAAACGAATGACCTCATAGTTAGTTTACATACAATGTAAAACAAATGTCCTCATAATTAGTCTATATACAATGTAAAACGTTTGTCCTCATAATCAGATTACATACAATGTAAAACAAATGTCCTCATAAATAGTCTATATACAATGTAAAACGAATGTCCTCATAATTAGTCTATATACAATGTAAAACAAATGTCCTCATAATCAAATTACATACAATGTAAAACGAATGGCCTGGTACTCAGATTACATACAATGTAAAACAAATGTCCTCATAATCAGACTACATACAACGTAAAACGAACGAACTAAACTAGGTAGCCTAGTGCACTGGAGTTAACTACAGTGTACAATTTTCTTTGTCACAGTGAACTACAGTGTACAATTCTCTTTGTCACAATGAACTACAGTGTACAATTCTCTTTGTCACAGNCAATTCTCTTTGTCAAAGTGAACTACAGTGTACAATTCTCTTTGTCACAGTGAACTAAAGTGTACAATTCTCTTTGTCCAAGTGAACTACAGTCTACAATTCTCTTTGTCACAGTGAACTAACGTGTACAATTCTCTTTGTCAAAGTGAACTACAGTGTACAATTCTCTTTGTCACAATGAACTAAAGTGTTTAATTATTTTGTCACAGAGATCTAAAGTGTACAATTCTCTTTGTCACAGAGAACTATAGTGTACAATTATCTTTGTCACGGAAAACTGAAGTGTACAATTATCTTTGTCACAGAGAACTAAAGTGTACAATTCTCTTTGTCACAGAGAACTACAGTGTACAATTATCTTTGTCATAGGGAGCTAGATTCTACAATTCTCTTTGTCACAGTGAACTAAAGTGTTTAATTATTTTGTCACAGAGAACTAAAGTGTACAATTCTCTTTGTCACAGAGAACTATAGTGTACAATTATCTTTGTCACAGAAAACTGAAGTGTACAATTATCTTTGTCACAGAGAACTAAAATGTACAATTATCTTTGTCACAGAGATCTAAAGTGTACAATTATCTTTGTCATAGGGAGCTAGATTCTACAATTCTCTTTGTCACAGTGAACTAAAGTGTATAATTCTCTTTGTCACCGTGAACTAAAGTGTACAATTCTCTTTGTCACAGAGAACTACAGTGTACAATTATCTTTGTCATAGGGAGCTAGATTCTACAATTCTCTTTGTCACAGTGAACTAAAGTGTATAATTCTCTTTGTCACCGTGAACTAAAGTGTACAATTCTCTTTGTCAACGTGAACTACAGTGTACAATTATCTTTGTCACAGAGAACTACAGTGTACAATTATCTTTGTCACAGAGAACTACAGTGTACAATTATATTTGTCACAGAGAACTACAGTGTACAATTATCTTTGTCATAGAGAACTACAATTATCTTTGTCATAGGGAGCTAGATTGTACAATTATCTTTGTCACAGTGAACTCTATACCTGTGATATACATATACCTTTGGCAAAGATATAAGCTATGTTATATACACATACCATACCTATGACATAGATATAAGCTGGGTTTTACACACGTACCATACATGTGACACACATATTTTAGTTATACAACTGATATTTTCCCTTGCTGTAGAATATGTTTTCCTTTTCAGTGACATCTGAGAGCACCAGTAAGTAATTAAAAACTTAACAGATTTTCTAATAGCTTCATTTTCTTAGTTTCCTATGCACATATCTTAAGCACAAGCAAATTATACCGCATTAACATGTTTGTAGGAATGCTATATTTTAACTTTTACGTCTCGTTAAAGCAACTATCTCCTACCGATATTGGTGTAAGGGAGATAATCCACACGCGTCGTTCTGTTGTAGTTCTTTGTTCTATGATCTGTTTTGATAACTGACGGTTTGTCATATTTTTTTTTTTGCACTCAGTGTTAATCATTCAGCATCATCAATAACAATACCGTGACAGTGTGCGTTTTCATTATTATTTGTTTACGATTGCTATTGCCAAATAATAATAATTATATAAATACCATTTTGAATATATTTTTTCCATAAAAAACACCTTTCTTAATATTTTTGTTTTGTTTTTATTTTTATTTTTATTTTTTGTAGCGTTATTCTATATATAATATATATCATATTATGCATTACGAGAACATGATATATTTTGGCATTCCTTTTCTTTATACTTAATTATGTTTTCCAATACATATAATGATAATAATGTGAAGTATGTTTTAAATCACATAGGTTATTAATGAAATAAAATAATAATATATAGCAAATAAAGAAATAAAAAATAGGTTTTGATATGTTTCATTTAAATAATATATCCAATATTTGAATGCAACAATAATAATTTATTATATAAGGAGATCGAAATAAAAGATAAACAAAAATAAATATACCATTATATTTAGTATTTAGATAGATT